AGTGCGCGGGCCGTGCGTGGTGTATGTGTGACTGGGCCTTTACGAAGGCATTTTAACTTGGTTATATCGCTATGACGATACGATCGGCTATTCGTGATTCCTGTATCTTTCCAATTGACCGGTTGATTGCGCAATCGTTGTAGGTACCATGGTGGCAAATCAACCAATGAGCGTTGGGATAGGATGAGATTGTATTTGAGTGTACGCGTACGCTTGAATTTTGTATTTCTCATTAGAAAGGGTCAGAACTCTGTGCAATTGTTAATTTCATAAACTAGAATCTTTTCTGAATCCGACAGTGTAAACGGCTCGTCCGAGGTGCGTTGCGTTTGCGGCCGGGGAATTTTCAAAGAAAGCCTACTTTTTTGTGCAGATTCACATTGTAAATGGGCCATTTCGAGTGTGTGCTGGGAAAATGATGTTTAGAAAAAAAATTATGGAAGAATTTTTTTGTTAATAACATATATGGTGTCACTTGCGACTTGGATTCAGAGGATGGCATTGTTATTCCAAAAATAAACTTCTGCTGATTTATGGGAATTTTTTCGTAAGTATTACCGCCTATGGAAATTGATTTCCAAGCGTGAACCCTGTAACACATCTAACTCCCGCTGCGCCACCTGCTGACAAAGCTAGCGGCTAACCCCATTGCCTCCCATGTCCATCGCCCGGCCTCCTTTCTTCTTCTACCCCCTCGGCTATCTTCCATGCCCTATTTTCTTAGTCTCCCACCCCTCACTTTCTCAGCAAGCTATATTATTCAGTTATTATTCAGTTCATATTATATGCCTAAAACGGTGCTCGCGCATGCGCAATAACTACCAAAAGAAATATATTATTTTGCAAAAATTATGCGTTTCATATGAAGAGGAGGTATTCTAGCATAGATTTATATGATAAAATTCCATCAGTAGAATTATATAAAGAAATAGAAAGACGATCGTGCATGTAAGGTGCGCGCTGCCTATACCAGTGAGTATATAATCTGGATACGATAGTGTGCTAACTCATGCGCAATATCTCACCAGAGAAGTTATATTTTGTTATGAATATGCATTTAATATGGTTAGGGGTATCTCAGCATAGGTTTCTGTAATTAAGTCTTATCAGTAGACCTGTGTTAATAGATAGGAGAGCGCCCTAGCTAGCATGTAGGGTGCACCTGTGTTAATAGATAGGAGAGCGCCCTAGCCTGTAGGGTGCAAAACGAGTATACATGATCCTAGTAATGTCATTTATGACATCACAATTATGCAACACTTCCATCAACATGCTGAAATACGTGATATTGAACCAATACGTGATATTCGCTTGCCCGCAGATCACGTTGCTATTGGCTGCTTGGGACCCCCCCCAACTTTCAACACGTGGTTGCACCCTTGCTCGGTATACAATGATACAATCACTATCGATAGACTCCTGATACAATGTGCACATATAAATTATTTCTCCCGATAGATGGCGCGAATATGTCATAATTGATCAAAGTCGCTGATACATTATTGAAGAGGGGTACGGGGGGGGGGGTATGTGAGAAAAGGGGGCGAGTAGAGAGGCTAGTGGGCGGGAGGATTTTTAAACAAAACAAACTATTATAAACTGTTGTACGCGTGAAAGAGAGAGAGAGAGAGAGAGAGAAAAAAAGAGAGAGAGAGAGAGAGAGAGAGGGAGAGAGAGAGAGAGAGAGAGAGAGAGAGAGAGAGAGAGAAGAGAGAGAGAGAGAGAGAGAGAGAGAGAGAGAGAGAGAGAAGAGAGAGAGAGAGAGAGAGAGAGAGAGAGAGAGATATACCAAGTAGAGAAAAATAAAAGGAAATCCATAGCCGAGAAATAACATACATTGAGAAAATCATTGTAGAGGATTAACAATTTATTACGCAAACTGTCAGAGAAACTAAGTGACATTCAAAAAAGGAAATGCAAAATATAAAGGATCCTGGAGGTGTTGAGGGAAGGAGATAGGACAGGGGAGGGAGGTGGGAGGAGAGGGGGAGGTATGGAGGGAGGAAGACAACAACCTGTACACCCTCCTACATACAGACTATCAAGACCATAAGTCGAGCAGTTTAGATTTGTACCACAACTCCTTCCTATACCTCAAGTTAAGGGGGAACCCTAACCTTTGACCACCCAGATTCGAGATCACAATGCGTTTTCGGACTACCTACCTACGTCCCCAATTTCGAAACCGTACATCAAGCTGTTTAGATTTGTGCCCAACTGTTGCCGGACGGTCGCTCATGCCATTCTGACTGTGTCAGATGAGCTAAACACATTGAAAGTAAATAATGGAGTATTTCTCACTATACACGCAACTGACAAAAGACAAAACTGCAAAACAGGACAAGGTCGGGATAAGGTCATCGACTATCGTCTTTATTGCATGACACTTGACACAGATACGGAACATCATTACCTCTAAAAACACTAAACTTTACCATCAAAGTACACGAAACAGACAATATCATAGAATATGCATCCTCGCACGTTTCATTTCTTCCCTTTCACGTTGCTCAAACATCTAAAAGTCGTGAGCGTGAAATTTACCGCACACGATCGTTCTGACAGGTGGCTGACAGTGTCGCGCGTCCTGCCACGCCGGAAACCCACCGCCAACACAGCTATAATTTAACATTACATTGACAAGGTGACCTGAACAACTCACGTACAGAGATTACTACGCATGTACACACACACAGGCCTCTCGGAATGGCAGCATAGCGCCACAAATGCGTTACAATTCCAACGGAGGCATTTCACCCCCAAAAAACATTCAGCAAGCACGATGAAGACAACGACATTGGCGGCGCATATTTACAATAGGGTGTGAGAGTTCGTTCACTTCCTGACACCTAACAGCCTGACATGTGTGCATGTGCGTGTCAAGAAAATAGTTAGAGCAGGACGTGATGGCACCGACACCCCGCGCGTCGCTGGTTGGAATCCGCGGAACCCTCGTAAAATAAATTCCACAGAAAGCTAACGGCATTGAAATACAAGAATATGCCGACGCTCCCCTTGCTAGAACCACCGCTGCACGGTCGAGTAGAACCCTCGCACGTTGAGATCGCTTGCTCTCCCCGGGCGACGGTGGCTGCAGCCGCCACCACTGGTCTGCCCTGCTAGGCGGGGTGCGCTGATTCTAGTATGGTCTCGGCCGCCTATCCTCCCTGCAGCAGAAAGACGTTACGGAATAACTCATGAATGCAGTTTCAACACACCCAGGGTTCATAGTAGTAAGACACATGTTGAAATAAAGACTTATAAGACCCTTTCTGGAGGCCAAAATAAGACTTTTTTACGCGATCACCGACTATTAAAGTACACTAATAATATTTATATACACAATTGCACAGCAGATTTAATTATTCCGTATTATATATACAACAATTCTTACTCTAAGTCGAGAACAGTAAGTCGAAAAATAAGGACTATTAAGTACTTTTCTAAGATTTCACCAAAAATAAGTACTAATAAGGGCCCTTATTTTATTTTTGGCAAAATAAGTACTTATAAGACTTTGGAAGACCCGCTACGAACCCTGACACCGGTGTAACGACAGGTGTGTTCTAACACCGTCTCAGTCCGCCTTAGTTCTGATAAACTCTCAGGTATCAAGTAAAGAACGTCTCATCATCGACAGTGTGTGACCAACCGCGTGCCGTGAGTGACGACCTTGAACCACTAACCTTGAATCGCGTGGACCTCCTCTTCCTCTGTCGCCTCTGTCGCCTCGGTCACCGCCGCGTCCCCGGAATCCTCCGCGATCACCGCCGCGACCGCCACGATCCATCCCGCGTCCGCGCCCCCGGAACCCGCCTCGTCCACCACCGCCAAACCCGTTAGCATCATCTGCAAGAGATTAACGCTAATGTTAATTAATTTAATAGAGACAATTAATTAGACACTAAATAGACATAAATGGTGAAGCATCGCGTCGCCACCTGGGAACGAAAGCTTCTGTCTGCCTCAGTCCGCCTTAGTTCTGAGTAAAACTCTCATGGTAATAGAGGATGAACGAATCATCATCGGCAGCAAAGCTTAACGAGTTCATTGATTAACGATGCTAATTAGGGCAGTGATAGGCAGTGTTTGAAATAAGGGCTATCCATTTGTCCTCACTTGTCCATTTCCACGGAGGACAAGTAGACCTGTCCAGTAGCTTGTCCGCTGGACAAGCAGCTTTTTAGAGCAACTTTTCATCATTTTCTACCATCGCTTCAACTTTCTTAAGACAAGTAACTTAACTTAACTTAAAATAAATAATTGTGCTTATTTATGTTCTTTCAAGTTTGGTGTCTAATTTGAACTGTTAGTTAACTGTATTAAAATTACAAGGTAAGATATTGGGTCTAAACTTTAATTTGATTAAATGTATTACACATTTATTATATTTCTATGTTATTAATCAGGACAAGCACAAATTTTGCAGGACAAGCAAAAATATCTTGTAGCTTGTCCGTCAGACAAACAAATTTTCCCCCTTATTTCGAACACTGATAGGGTGTTATAGCATAGCCCTCTTCAGAGTGTGTGTACCTACAGGTTTGCTTGCAGACTAGATAGTACTAGACTATACCAATGTCACTGGCTAGCGCAGCGACAACACACGATACTGCAGTCCTGCAGCACATCTCCACATACGCTCACTCAACATACAAACGCCAAAATTGCACATCAACGCAAGACAAATAGCCTGCATCGCGAAACGCCGCGAGACTGAAGAATGCCTACCTCCCATGCCCTCAGGACGGTCGGTCTGGCAACGATTGCAGTTGGTCCTCCATGCAAAGTTGTTGTTGGAACAGTCTGGGTTGGGACAGGTCCAGTCTCCATCGCGTGATGGGCCACCGGCGCCCGGGCCTCCTCCTCCTCCTCTACCTAGCATCACAGCGGTAGCAACAAGAAACACTCCGTTACACGACGCTTCCCACGACGGTAACGCGCTGCGCTCGAACCATGGATCAACACACAGTACACCGATCAATACGTACAATACCAACTACTACGTGAATTATCAATCGATGTTCAACATCGACTAAAATATAAATCAAATTGCAAATTCAACATTTACCAAAAACTATCGAAAATCAACGATCACAATGTTGAAACTCGCCACGTCTTGATCGCTAAGCTCCACTCGTCGGGTTCAGCATCGATCACGTTTAGTTTCACGCGCGCACGCACGCACAGAAAGAACGCAGCGTTGAACTAAGCGACGACTTAAGCCCAACGCACACACCCGAGCAAAACACCTGAACGTGGAGCAAAACATGTTTCGCTGAACAAGCAATGTTTGATTCGCAGAGCGTGTTTCGCCTGAGCGTATGTTTTGCTCGGGTGTGTGCGTCAATCGATCTGCTACACAGCGAAACGCCACAGACGGTCTCCAATCAATATCCTTAAAAATATCACATGACACACAAAATTGGATGTCCATTGGATGGCTATTTTTGATGTCATGTGACAGCGGCGCTGTACGCAGTGTTTCTGTATGTTTTGCTCAGCTGTGTGCTGTGTGGGGTGGCGTGTGTGCGCTTGCTCGCCGAGCAGAACGCGAAACGCTAGAAAACAATATTTCGCATTTTGCTCGGGTGTGTGCGTTGCGCTTAACAAGAGTGTTGGATTCTAACACGTGCGACTCACCGCCACGGTCTCCACCGCGATCACCACCGCCGCGGTCACCACCACGACCCCCGAAGCCTCGTCCGCCCCCGCCCCCGCCGCCGCGGCCACGCCCCCTGCCACGATCCACGCCACCCTGGTAGGCAGGCCGCTGCGCCTTCTCAACCTTTATCTCGTGACTGTTTCTGAATGGCTTGCCTGCAACGAACACAAGTATATAACTACAGGTACAAGTTTAGTCAGCCGACAATAACGTACAGGGAGCGTGACAACGCTAGACCGATAAAGAATAGTTAATACCAAATCCATAACAAAATATAATAACATAATAAATAATAATAGGCTGACAGTAGATGGCTATGACGTTGTCTACACCCAACTGTGGTAATCTGATTTGCACTCCCATTATTATAGGTGGCAAGACTATTAAAGCTAGATTTGCGAGATTCTGGCTCAGAAACGCTCAACCAGAAACAAAATATAGCGAAATATAGTCTCACCTCACAGCGGATATATCACTGATTACACTAACTTAAAAAATACTAGGATATTTTATGCAGTTATAGCATAGAAAATTGCATATGAACACATTGTAACTCAATGAAAATAACATCGTGTGGCGACAGTGTTTCCCCTGTATTGACACGAGCGAGGCGGCCCGCCTCGCTCAAATTCTCAGCCGCCACACAGAAATTTGTCCAAAACACTGCCTCGCTGATGGAAATCACTATTCTTCCATAGAATAGTGATTATATGCACCAAAATAGTTAGAATGCACCAAATTGCACCATTTTTTAATTTTTTTTTATAGCAAAGGCATTCTCGCTTTGCTAGGACCTCGAAATGCGGAAACACATCAAAAATAAATTCACCACCTCACAGACCTGTTTGGCCAGGGGAAACACTGGGCGAGATTGGTTAAATGTGTCAACTTGTAATTTGTCGGTGCAAACGAGATTGTGCGAGAGACGTGCAAGTCCATGGATGATGGCTGGCGCTGTACTAACTGGTCCCAGATTACAAGAAAAGGCGGTGGTAATCGAACGAGTTCGAAACGTGCACGTTTTGGTGAATACAAAGGTTCTAATACATTTTATCGTTACTCTAGACAGTTGCTGTTACTCAAGCGATAACGGTAGGTATCATAAAAGTGGATAAAACACTAGAAAATTCTAAAAATTATGGCTTTAATCCTGTCAGCGTAGTAGTCTATCATGCCACAAGTCCTCTGTGACTGTCCCAAGCTCTTACAGACCACGCACAGTCCGATGTCACGACAGGTGGGTACTAACACTGTCTCAGTCCGCCTTAGTTCTGATAAACTCTCAGGTATCAAGCAAAGAACGTCTCATCATCGACAGTGTGTGACCAACCGCGTGCCATGTCAAAAATGTTAGAACAGCAGACCTGCCAACCTGTGATTCATGAAAATAGTAAGGCTTTTCTTTTCTTGCAGCAGGCGGCCATTTTGTTTGTATGTTATGCGCGCAATGAATGATGGGACTAACTCTAGATCACGCGAGAACAACGTGAACGTGTGATCCAATATGGCTGCGCCCACAATCGCCAGATATTTCTCGGCTCACAATGTAAAAAACATTAATTTTCACAAGTCGTAAAAAATCGTAAGTTTTTCAGTTTGATCGTACATTTGTAGAAACATCATGGAATTCGTAAGGAATACGAAAAAATCGTAAGGGTTGGCAGGTCTGGAACAGATGCTGATGTCTAACTAGGCAAATCTATAAACCCTCACCAGGCGACCGAGAACTCACTAAAGCACGGGTTCACGCCGTGTCTGCACCAGCACCCGCTAAGGAGACGGCTATACAGTCACTGGAGGAAAACTCACCATTGAACCAGGAGATGGCGCTACCGGCAGTGTGCGGGTCGTCAAATGTAACGGTGGCCTCTCCCTTTGGAGAACCAGTTCGCTTGTCCTTGTAGATCCAGATCTTTGGTTTCCCCAGTTTCTTGTCCATCTGTAGAAAGGATGTGTGTGTTTAGCATGTGATATGTCTAGACATGATACAGATTGACTGTCTGTGCTGCTTGCCCTCTCCAGTCCCATTCCAGTGCAGTTCTCGTGAATATTGCTCAACCGGACAGTCTATATTACCCCAGTCGTACATGAACTAAAGAATACAATTCTTTACCGTTGATTCAAACGTGAAATTAGGAGTTTTGAGACTCAGGGTAAAATCGGGGCTAAAGTCTGTTCAACAAGCCGAATTAGACACTAAATAGACATAAATGGTGACGGTCACCTGGGAACGAAAGCTTCTGTCTGCCTCAGTCCGCCTTAGTTCTGAGTAAAACTCTCATGGTAATAGAGGATGAACGAATCATCATCGGCAGCAAAGCTTAACGAGTTTATTGATTAACAATGCTAATTAGGGCAGTGATAGGCAGTGTTTGAAATAATGGCTATCCATTTCTCCTCACTTGTCCATTTCCACAGAGGACAAGTAGACCTGCCCAGTAGCTTGTCCGCTGGACAAGCAGCTTTTTAGATGTTTGTTTGCCGTTTTCCTAATGGTATATGTTGAGTTTGTTGGGGGCAAAATTTGCCAAAATGCAACAATTTGAGTTACCACAAAATGGTTGCCGACACTTGTTTACATCTAATTTTACGAAACGTTTTGTCAACAGAGTGGTTTCAGCACAGCGTAAACAAATCATGTGCTTGGAGAAGAAGGATCCTCACTCACACACTATCATACATTCACCGTTTAATCGCAACGTTTTCATGCTTCCTAGTGCCACGGAATATTAAAGGTGACCGCCGCGCCGCTACCTGACCTTGGGGTACCCCGGATTCTGACCTTGATCACGCCGATGGCACCAAAATGGTCTGCGAGGTCCATCTCGGTCACGTCTGGTGGAAGCCCACTAATGAACACAGTATCCTCCTGCGTCTCCATCTCACGTCCACCAAAGCCGCCGCCGCCTCCTCCTCCTCCTCCTCCTCCTCCGCCTCCTCTATCCCCTGTGCACGAGGAAATACAGCGATTAGAACATCGGGTGGGGAAGACAATGTGCGGGAACGTTAACGCGACTACGCAGGAATGCGGGCAGCGGATGTTTAAGCGCGACGAGCTCACCGAGTGGAAGATGCGACCCGGAGATCCGTCTGAACGTTCAGTGCGACGATGAAACACGCAAATTTTGTTTTTGTGAATGCTAGTAAGCTGTACTAGCAGTCCGCACACGCTGTGGAACTTGCTGCGCCATCGTCCACGTGTGGGTTTAGGAACAAGCGCAGTTCAGACAGACAGATCTCCTCGGCGTTTCTCAGGTAACTGTCTCACTGATACCCGTCCTCTTTTTTCACATGCAAATTCCTCACGCAGGATAACCGAGTCTAACCACGGAGGAACCCCCTTCCCCTACCACTGCCACTGCCAAAACGACAAACCAGTCCAACAAAACGACAGCTCACAGAGCAACTTGCTGAACACTGCCGCTGCCCGCATCCCCCCCCCCACCCCGCCTACACCGCAGGAGCATTTCACATGGCTCAAGATTGCTTCGTCTGTCTCATGCTCCTGCTGATGTCGTCCAGGGTTGGCAGTGCCGGTGGCGGACTGCGGTGCGGCACCGGCACCGCCTTGCCCGCTCACCACGACGTACCAGCGCGTGGCGCTGCATACCACCTTACAATAGGAAGAGTATAGCATCAGACACATGACAGGAAGCAAGGTTGAGCCTGGCGCAATGCAAACCTTACATAACGCTAGCAACGCATGAACACAACAAACCTTAAATAACGCTAGCAATGCACCCATACGGCTGCAGTTCCCCCCACACGCACCACTTCCATTCCGAACCCTGCTATATGAAACGTGCATTGTCACATCACACTTAAATAACCGAGAATACACCTTTCCTTAAATAACAGCAGTGAGGAAACACAGAGGGAAGCTAAGGGGTGGAGAGTAACTATATAGTGGGCAAGGTTTCTTGCTTAAAGTTAAACACGATGCATTGGAGCAGAGAAGGCAGGAGTTAAAGTACCATTGTTGGCACGGCAAGCTTTCACGACAGCTTAAGATCGCATCATCTCCAGTTTCAGCGATCGATTTCCATTCAATATTTCTCCCACTGCTTCATTCACCTGTTAGTTGTCATCATTGCAGCGCAGACACAATCTCTTCCCTTACACAGGGGCACCATATGTAAAAATATCACCCACGTCACAACAGCGGTGTAACAGAGAACCCTGAACGACCACTGCTAACAGTTGCACCAGGTTTTGGCGTATTGTGTACACCGATTGGCCCGTCATTGCAGATCGTATATATGCACAGGCAAACACTCTGCCCTAAGCTTCATTATACCTGGGCTATGGGCACACCGGGCCTACCAGTGCGCAGGGGTAGAAATGAACTTTTGAACACGGGAGTCCAACAGACGGACTCCCTACCCTCAAAAACAAGGAGTCCGCAGTCCGAGGTTCAAAATTAAAGATATTAACAATAATGCATGTGCTTATTTTTAAGATTTATGCGGTTGCACGTCTGCCAAATTTTCTTTGGATATTAGCTGAAAAAATACGGTAATTCCGCGAGGCCGTGCTCTGGAACGAACTATAGTTAGTATGGCAGAATTTTCAGGGAGACACACAGACTCCTGCATATGTCAAATCAGGGAGTATTTGACTCCAGACTCCCGTTAATTTCGCACCCTGAGTGCATATAGCTAGAAACATCTCAGAGAGTGGTAAAACCCGGTGCCACAGCACCATTACTTTCGCGCCTCGACCCTTGTACGGTGGTACCACAGGAGCACTATAACTAGCGCGCCTTGGTGTTACGCCCTTGATGTTAGAACCTTAGTGTTACGACCTTGATGTTAGGACCTTGGTATACCTTGGTGGTACACGACGACACCCTAAGAATGTTTGCGTTCGAGTCCCCAAAGTCGCAACAGACACATTGTAATTTGTTTAAATTAGTGTTTCCAAGTTGTCGAGGTAACGATGCTGCCCACTCGCATGCAACCAGAGGGCAGGGCATATGCAACCAACCAACCAATCACGTTCAACGCTCGCAAGGTTAACCACCCTACACTGCCTCAGTCCGCCTTAGTTCTTATAAGCTCTCATAAAAATCAAGAAAGAACGTTTCATCATTGACAGTGCGTCCTCAGCTGCATGAGTTAGTAGTTCACTCACAACTCCGCGGGTTTTACGTCGGCGGTTAAATTTCACAGTGCATCTCATACGCACACTGCAACCATTACATGCAGTAACCGATGACTCTCAGTTCCTGTAGATGGCGCCAGTGCAGTTACACTTATAACGGCGTCTGTGCGCGTGCGGGGGACGATGACGAGCGAGTGTTGTCAGTAACGCTGACCCAACCTGTCGGTGACTCGTACACCACACAAGGAGACAACGATTGTACGTACTCCCACGTCTGCTGCCGCTCGTTGCCACGGTTACAGCAGCTCGCCGCATGCTTGCCATCAACCGTCCAGACAACCGTAAACACACACTTTTGTGGTAGGTCACCGAGTCTACCACGCATCGCACGCAAGCAGCAGCCTTTACTCTCGTATACTTTTTCCCGTACACGTGGATAGCATACAACAACTCTATATTCCGTAACGCGTGGTTTCGGGGGCGAGGGCTACACGGGGCAGGGAACATAACACGCGCAGAACTGTAGAATGAGAAAACTTACCGCCAAATAACACATACGTGTATCCTTGCAATGCTAAACCTGGAAAGAGCCAACTGGCACGTACCTATCGGAGAGCGAAGTGAGCAAAACATATAGTTTTGATATTGAACTCTAGTTGCCTGGCTCTTCCCAGGGATTTAACTTGCATACACATAAAAACAAAAGAACCACCCTGCTAACAGAACTGCTGTGGTTCCTGCGACCACTTACCACCAAACTTGTTGAATCCGCCTCTATCCTGACCCCTATTCCAACAGAAAGATAACAACCAATGTTACGCCACCCCTCAACACAGTACAAGCGCCTCCATCACGCTCCGCACACGCACTGCGTGGGAGCGAGGTGGACCGAGGGGTGGGTAACAATGGCCGGCAGATCGCTGAACCTCCCTCCTCGCTGTAGACGTTGTGCCGATTCTTCTTCGGCTACTGGTACACAACACCTCTGCGATTACGTTACACACACCAACCAACACACATTCCGAGCTAACCGACATCTCACTAACTCTCACTGCTAGCTACCTGACTTGGGGTTCGCAAATGATCATCAGAAATCCATGTAAAACACTCTCGTTCACCAAATGAGCAAAATTTATACCCTTTTTATAAATAGCACGCTATTTAACACTCGCTCGGTCTATTGCACGCATAAAACTAACCGCAATCACACACGTATTTCATCAAATTTTAATCCGTATTTTTTGCTCCAATACTTATGCTGAATAGTTATTTTCTTTCTATTCAACTAGAAGAACCTAGTTCGTTTCTTTTGGTAAGTAAACTGCTAACCTATTAGAAAGCCGTGTTTTCAAAATTAAAATTGGATAACCTTCTCACAGCCATAAATTATTGCTGAACCCACCCGATATTTCGAATAAAATACGTTATAAGTCAACAACGTTATAGAGTTAGTCCCGGCGCATGACACGACGTTGAGTAGCTAAGCTAAGCTTCCTGTCTCATAATCTATAATACAACTTGCGAGGTACACCAAATTATTTTAGACGGTACAAGAATTCTGGTATCCCTTAACTGTTGATACCAGAGTGACACTACACACTTCGTGGTCTTGTTTGCCCGAGTGTGATATTCTACAACTGATGTAGCTGAGCGACACGACCGCCGCGGGTTTCCTTATAAACCCGCATAGCACCACCTGTAGGACGAGAGCTCAAAACCGTTACGGTGTTATAAACGCACAGAAATGCACACAGTAACCACAGTAACTCCCAATTCACACCCCCCAAGGGCTGCCAACTTGTTTGAGTGAATACAGGGGAATACATGTATTGGATATCAATCTGTGTTGGGCAATGAAGGTACAATCGATGTGGTTAAATCCCACGGCACATGTATAATAAATCACACAGCAACACACTTACACCATGTGTGCACTGCTATTACACACTCATCAGTTCAGTACTTAAATCTATGGTTTATAGCAAAGCAACCGACTCGACCCACACCATAAACCATAGGTCAGGTCAGGCCCAGCGATCGTCACGCATGGAGTAAGTGTAATACAAAAATCTTGAGGCTAGTTAATTAGTTATGTACAGTAATTTTAATTGACACCCTTCTATGTAGATATCTTGCAAAAAGTTTGAAATAAGATGCCTACATGAATGTCATAGTAACAGGCACAAGTAAAGTTTACACTTGACATACAACGTTGGGTTCAGATATTGTTGTTTACATTTTAGTTGTATTTTACACATATGCATATAAAGGAAGACTGGCATATATGAAGGCAGGCATATGATCGCATGATAGAATTTTGCAATGTGAATGTTAATGCGATATTGGGGGGGAAGGCACTGTGTACGTAATATATATACACAACCCTGCAGATAAGGCATAGAAAACACGCTGAAAGATGAGCCAATAAAACTAGACAATGGATGTTAAAGGGATCCTTTACTCTCGGTTCTAGGGTTATTTTCAGTTAATTTAGATTAAAATTACGCTACATAAAAAGTTTCATGGTTCAATCACCATTAGAAATGTTTAAAAAATGTTTTAAAACCAACGACTACAGTTTGATTACAACGACGGCAGCGCCACTCAAAGCGAATGATCTGAAAAGTTGCGCAAAATGACTTTTTAGCCAAGGGCTACAGACCGAGGGTGTTTCTTATTTATTAATTTTAAAGCAAAGGATTATAATATCTTATAAACGACATATAGTTTCAGTTATATTATGAATAAATTTGTCCTAAAATGAACATCATTCGGTTAAATAGCATTTAGGTATAAATATAATTGCACTTTTGTGATTAGCCCTCGATCTGTAACGTGCAAAATATATTGGGAAATGCGCAACTTTTTCAGGGTGGCAGCACGGTCGCGGGTGTCAATGGCGCCGTTCAAATTTCGTAGCGTCGATGTATAATTAATTATAACAATTAAATTAGGTATCTGGTAACAAGTACGTGTGGGTATAGACGATTTGTTATACAGTAAGTTGAGTTGTATGCAGTAAAATCCTAGAGTCTAGTATCCCTTTAAGAACAGATTGTGTCCAGGCATACTCACTCATTTACCTAAAATTTACACAGAACTATGAGAAGGATACGCTACAGAAGGCATGCTATAAACCAGTCAAGTTCCTCGGAAAAATGCCATATATCTGACATATTATTGACATCGCTTAACACAGTGCCGACGCATTACCGATTGAATTCCGAAAAATTGCCACGAGCAGCACTGTTATTTATGTTAAAGATGACATCTTGGGATTAGATAACCTTAGATAACCTTGGGATTAGATAACAAGGGAGATAGTGAACACCCCTGACATAACAAAATATTGTAACTAGGCGAATAACCTCCGAACCTCTTAACATGTATGTATGTGGTGTACAGATCGCCGCAATAACAGCCAACGGTTCTGCAACCTGGTCAATATTTGTTTTAACGAGGTTTTCTCACTAGAAAAACCATAGTTTGGAGTTGGCAGCCCCGGGAGATGACACTGACAATCGTTACACCGTGTTAAACATTCGATTTGTGCAGCCGCCTAAACCCAACATCTACCAGAAGTGTTACACCATACGGCACAGCAATAGTTTATCGTGTCAAACACTTGACTTACACACAACCCTGTGACCAGTTACACAATACCACTATAAAGCCGGTGCCGACCACACGGAAACCAAACATATTTTCTCTCACCGTGTTTTATACATCGGATGCAATTTTACACACAGTTTTAAAAACAGATGGAAAACGGCTTACCCGCCTCCGTATCCCCCGCGACTATCACGTTCATTGCCGCCACCGCCATAGCCAGAACTCATGCCTCCTCCGCCGCCGCCGCCGTAGCCACCGCCACTAGCACCACCAGCGCCTCCATAGCCACCGGACCCACCTCCGTATCCGCCGCTGCCACCTACGCACACGCAGACAACACACTAAGAACACGAGTGACAACACACAGTACACAGCTTATGCTACTGCCGCGGGGAATTACGGCCTTGCCACTGCCACATACCGAAAACCTGCCAATAAGGCCAAAACAAAATACATGTGTGGTTACCGTTACATGCCGGGGAAAAATAGGGTAAGTAGGTAGGGGAAACATCACCGTTACATGCCGGGGAAAAATAGGGTAAGTAGGTAGGGGAAACATCACCGTTACATGCCGGGGAAAAATAGGGTAAGTAGGTAGGGGAAACATTTTATTTTCTTGAAATAATTTATTTACGAACCCTGTCCGAAGGATGTACGTTGTGCCTTTTGAAGCAGAAACTGTCCAATTCCTATTTTTTTTTTACTTTAACGAAAATTGACAATAAAAATGTTTAGGGTCGCCGGGAATAAATAGGGTCGGTCGGGAAACCGTAACCACACCTATATTTTGTTTTGGCCTAAGGAGAAGCAAAGATTTCACTCTTCGTAAACAACGTGCAGGGGCCTGTTGTCAGAAATGTGGTGAAGTTTCTCATATGCAGCACACAGAGGTCTGGTCTACAAGAAAAAGTCATGTTAAGTCAAATGTTAAAACTAATTTTGTTTCTGACAACCTGACAACAGGCCCCAGGCCTTCAGCAACATTCCGAGTTGGTAGACGTGACCAGGAACATTGCCGTACGGTGGGCCAGACACACTCACGTTGTTCTGACACGTCACAGGGCAAGGACGACGCACAAGTGTAAGATTATGACGATGCGAGCGAGGAAACGTTACCTCCTCCTCCGCCGCGACCGTATCCACCGCTTCCTCCTCCTCCTCCCGCTGCGCTCGGTGCCTCGTAACCGCCACTGGGTGGTCCATAACCGGCTAACAGCACCGAAAGAACACACGAGCGCGGTTATAGACAATGGCACACAGCGCGCGCACGCATACATACACACACGCACATGCGAGCTCTCATGGAGAACAGACCACGTTAGACTGTAAGCACCCGCTACAAAAATCCAATGCACACATAATCTCATAATGGTAACACTTCAAAGTAGAGTCAAGTAAAAAAATAAAGTAAAGTATAAAAGACATTAGTTTCACGCGAACACACGAAACCGATAGTCCCCGATAAAAAGTTGACGAGAAATATGGCTCAAATCGGACAACAATCATTATTAGAAAGCCTACGACAACAACCCCAATATTATGCACACATAGTACAATTATATATATTGTCTGTAGCACTACCTTGGCTGTAGCCGCCTGATGGAGCAGAGTATTCCGGCACGCCGCTGGTCTGCCCATAAGCAGCACCCTGACCTCCGTAACTCACCGGCGGTGGCGCGGCTTGTTGGGCGCTGTAACCGCCATCTGGAAAGGCACAAACATTGCCATCGATTACACACACAGGCACACAGGCACACAGGCACTTACGCACGCACTTACGCACGCACGCACACACACACGCACATGCACACGCACACACAAGCCTTCAGAGCCCATTCTTGCTCGCACCACTCACTTGCAACAACAAGATGCAAGCATGTACAACGGCTGGCTAAGTCAGTTTCACTGGCATGTCCTACATATATGCGGTAGCTTTGTGCGCACGCCTTTACTTCACATATTACAATGCCACGCCACCACTGACCTGTTCCATACGTTGCTGGTTGATAGGCGGCAGGGGGCGCCGCTGGCGGTGGCTGGCCGTATGACGCCGGGGGCAGTGCACCCCCATACGACGCGGGAGGGGGCGGCACTACCGTCTGCTGAGTAGGCGGGGGACCGTAGCTGCTGTAGGCACCTTGCTGTGGATACTGCTGTGGTACAGCTGTGCCTGCAAGCACAGACCCACTGTGTTAGGTAGCGATAGACTGGAGCATAAACGACTCATGTGACACCACAGCAAATCACTTCACAGTTCACACGATCAATACTACACACGACACATACAGCAGAGCTGACAACATTCACCTAAAATTGTGCAATAGGAATTTGAATATTGACAAGTAGGAATCTTGGATAACGAGCCAATTACACACAATATTTCCTACATAATTTAAGGGCAGCTCTTTGTCGATTAACAAATAAAATACACTCATATGCGTAATCATTGTAGTGTAACAACAAACACAAGCATAGACTAAGAATATTCCTAGTCTATGATAAAGGCTATGAGAATAATTATAATACCACAATCATTGGTCGAGTCGCCACTCCTGGACCAATGAGAGTGCGTACTACGTTCACTGGAAGTATATATATCAACTTCCTGTAAAATGGCCACTCCCATAGCAGGAGTGGCATTGTGGCAACAATTCTTCACGCAGACTATGGCGATAGAGAAATAGGAATGGCTACACTAATTGAAATGGACACGGAAACAGGAAGTTTGAAATCGACTTCAGTAAAACAAACACATGCACGTACACCAATGAGATCTGGCTCTCTATTCAAGCCGCATCATGTTTATATATGTATGCAGATGATACATGATAACCTCCAATATTTTGAAGTCAGCACCATAGAATTTAAGAGAGCAGCTGCACAACTCTTTCTTTAGAGAACAATCAAGAGATACAACCACAAACATGATCAGGACCTTGCTAACAAAAGAAGAGTGAAGAGGAGAAAGAAAGACAATGCTACTAGTAGCACGCACGCACGCACACACACACACAACAAAGGAAGTGCAAACGACCTGCATTTGTCACTTAGTGACACAAGAGCATCGCTTTGCTGGCGAAACTTGCGGAGGTAACCGTGACGTAAAGGAAGGAGTGCTGTACCAGTGGCGGGCGGGGTCGGCTGTGCAGAGGAATAAACAGGATTGGTAGCAGCGTAGCCAGGCGACTGCTTGTGGCCGTACGACGCCGTACCTCCGGCAGGGGGCGGCGCTTGCGCGTACTCTGTCTGCGCATAACCTCCGTATGGTGCGTAAGCTCCCGTCGCCGCAGGCTGCAGAAAAACGACGGCACACGTCATCAATAACCTCACATAAATTATTAAATAAACAATTCACCTTACGTGAATTCCTCATGTAATCGCAATTATTTATCTTGTATTTATCCAACATGGAATTTAAATAGAATAGTCATTGCAACAACGTGTGTCGCGCCCGCCCGCACACGCTCGCTCGCACGCACGCACGCTCGCTCGCACGCACGCACGCACGCCCGCGCTCGCTCGCACGCACGCTCGCACGCACGCTCGCACGCACGCTCGCACGCACGCACGCACGCTCGCACGCACGCACGCACGCACGCACTCACGCACGCACTCACGCACACACAGCCAACGTGATCTGAATTCGCTTAAGATTACTCGGCTCAACTGACGTTTCTAATGTTTTGAATTCATACCGGGGGCTGGCTGTAACTTGCTACAGGAGGGGGTTGTCCGTACTGCTGGGACGTATCGTAGCCTGCTGCACTGTAAGCGCCATAACTATTAAAAAAAGACCCAACGAGACGTTATGACTTCATGCTCATCTCTATGCATAAAGGCTTTAGTAGGAATGCAACTGCAAGCCAATGAGCACACTGCTTCAGGAGCTGTGCATGTGTAAATGGTGATGTCAAGTCACTTATGAATAAGTCATGTAAAATTTCGTCAATATGTCGAGAAATATGCTCGCCACGTTATCAAGCATAGTATTATTAGATAGTTGGTCAAAAAGCAGGAATTTTTCCCACTGTACTTTTTCTATTACTACCCAAACCAGTGCAATCCTGTACTCATCCTTATCAATTCTCTACACAATATGCACACATTTACAACAGGTTATAATATTTGGTCATGATCATTATTGATTTCACATCCGATGATGACTAACTTACCTGGCGACTGGGGCACCTGCTGCTCCTGCGTAACTGTACTCTGAAAGTTTCATTACAAAATTATCACTGCTTCTATTAATAATGAGAAACCGGTACAATCACAGACACAGAAGGACAGATGATTTCACGCACAGGAGGCAGATGGCATTGGCGAGACAAAGAGCCGACCAGGGAGTTGAGGCTATATCATAGTACGATTTCACGACACCGTGCAAGAGGCTGAAAATAACTGCAGTTGTTTAAATTATCATAACGACACACTGCGCTTCACAAGTAAACCAAAACACATTTCATATCGCATACATAACAATAACCATACACCGGCAGTGGCAGTGGTACCGGGGACCCGCAGCCATGTTTGATTGGTCGACCCCCAATTTTCTGTACCATGTTTTCCTAATATTTCCTTAAAAACGATAATTACTTCAAAAATGTCTATTTATGTACTATCCTTAATGGTTAAACAACTCATTTTCTGCATCAAACATAACTAAATAAAGTTACATAACACAATAAACGGCAATAAATTTCGAAACACAAAAACTCACGTTGATCCGCCATTTCTTCGATAATGCAAAGAAATACCAGGATGTTATGACGTCACAAAATGGAAGGCTCCCGTGTACAGCCAGCTCGTTTGTCACCGTTTATAGATTTACAAAGCGAGTCGGATGCAGTAAGATACAAAGAATTAGTGAAAATAAGAAATAAGTATGCTAATGATAGCTGCGGGTTTCAGAAGTTCAGATCCCGTGGCGGGCTAAAGCTACTTTTGCCTGTTTTGCTTCAACCATCGAACAAACTACTCGAGGTTGCGCTAAGCATTTTGGGTAATTGCTGCCTTGAGGAGGAGAGTAGAATAGAGGTATAATTAATTATACTAGGATTACTGGAATTTTGCTATATAAATGAACGATCGTGTCAAATTACACGTGTTAGGATAATTTGGGTAGATTTTATGTTTGGCTATGGTGTTATTGTGTTGTTGTAATACAAGCATATTGCTAAAGTAAATATGCATTGCACCAACTGACTGTTGACATCAACTGGTTGAGCGCATACAAGTTACAGGCGCTGTTATTGTTAATTGTTATTGTTACTAATAGTAATAATACTACGTTAATCGTTAGCAAATTGCACTGCTGACTTTTGGTAGAATATTTGAAAAGTTGATCAATTCGTCAATTGTTCAACTAAAAGTTGTTAGTGTAAACCCAGCTTTAGACATAGTGTGATTATAGTGGTTGTCAGACTAGCAGCTTGGTGAATCACACCCAGGGACAGGGTGTTGTTAGCCAGGAAAAAAATCAGGGAGTCTCACCATCTGAGCGAAGCGAGGATGCTGCGGGCGCGGAGCGCCCTAGGGGGAGGGCCTTACCTTAAAATGGAGGAAATTTAGTCTGAAATGCCAAAAAGACATGAATCTGATATGATTTTATATTCTTAGAAGCACTGTTGTCAGTTATATATACAAGGTGTATAATATATAAAATTGGGCCGCCCTCATGCCGTCTCTATCATATTTCATCCGTGTCATCCAAGAATAGGCTGTCCAAAAGACGGGTAGGCGTGTCTCTGGCTAACACACTGATCAAACCTACATCTGCTCTGTATGTGCGTGCTACGCTGACGTCTGCTAAATGGTTTGATGTATCGTGCATAGATGGCGCTGCATGCCTAGACCCAGTTTACACCAGTCTGCCATGCTGAGCACCTGTGATGAATCGCCCACGAGTATTCTTGTCACTCTACTCTATCAGTGTAGTTCATTATGAATTGTTTATGTTTCACTAGGTGCGAAGAAGAAATGGAGTTGACCTAATTGGTGAGTTAAGCCACCACAATAGCTGTATATATAGTTAGTATTACAGGTAACCTGGTAGGGAAAATTATAATAAAAATAATAAAAATAGCGTAATATAATAAATGGCAATTTTAGGGAAGGTAAGCAATCTTATATTGTGCAGTATCACTATTACACATCACTTTTCAGTGCCACACAATAACCCCCCCCCCCCAATATATTCATATCTGTAATGTTACAATCAGCTGTTTGCCACTGCAGTTGATGTGCTGACCGCCACCAAGAAAGACTCTATTGCTAACAGAGCATGCAGGACGTTGGCGAACCTTGCCCAGGATAACAAAAGTGCCCAGATGATCCATGAGATAGAGGTGACCATACATGTAGAGCAGGTTTATTTAATTGCTCGTTAGATGGTGCGCAGGACAATACAAATGGCCTCACTCTCTTTGTGAATTTATCAGCATAGATAGGAATAACCATTTGTCTCCGATGCATTGGACGCGGGACAATGCTGACAAATTCACAAAGAGAGTGAGGCCATTTGTATTGCCACATGATATTAACTAACATTCGATTCTAATTGGTCTAAATTAGACCAATTTAGCCTCTAAACCTTTATTCTTGTAGAGTTAATTCGCTGTAATGTATTTTAAAGGTATGTATTATAACCAGAATCTCGTAATCTCTTTAGTTTGATCTTTGTTGCTGATTTATTACCTGACGATCTGTAGGCGGTTCCTGTCATTGTGAAGAAACTGCAGGACACAGCGGACTTCCGTCTCCAGCTGACCGTCATTAGAACGCTGAGGTTGCTGGCCGACACCACACAACATAAAGCCAACGTAAGCTCACCCAGCTCCCTCCCCACTGTACTATGCTGCTGTTATATATACATCATTGTACATACATGACGTTAGGTTGCTGGCTGATGACCAAATAAACCAGCGTGTGTTTTGAAACGGGCCCTGTGTTATCTATCCTGACAGACAATTCTTGCTGTTACCTTCTCCGAATATTTATTAACCGATTTCTCAGTAAAAGTAAGGCAAAAAAAAAAAAATAATATTTCAGTCTGCAAATTCTCACACAGAATGCAACACTCATGCATGTATTCCCACACTAATTAAAAGTCCGAACTAATGCTGTACGATTCACATCTCAAATATATCGTTTCGTTATGGCAGGTGACAAGAGACGGCGCTGTGAGAGCAGTCATGACCTTGCTGGGTTCGTGTAAGGAGGAGGTGGTTCACGCCAGCCTACGAACCCTCGCCCATCTCACCGAGAAATGCTCGGCCAACGCAGCTTACGAAGTCGTCCAGTCGGGGGCGCTGGCGACTCTCCTCGATCTGTGCAGCCGCGAGAAGCAACAATTCCGCCACCAGGCGGTGGGAGTGCTGCTCGAACTCGTCCAAGAAGTGAGCATCCGACCCGATCTCGGGCGAGTCGGAGCGATCCAGTTCTTCCTGAAGGAGGTTGAGAAATCCCGCTCGCCTGCGTTTGTCAGCGCCCTCTGTCTGTGCTGCAGGGAGTCGGTGAACCGCGTGCGTGTGCGCGAGTGCGGGGCGCTGCCGATGCTACTCTCGCTGCTGCGTTGCCGTGACGACGGCACGCACGCCCGCGTAATTAACGCGCTGCTGTCGTTCCTCTATGACGAGGCGAGCCTCGGGCTGCTGTTGGATGCTGGCCTCGTGCCAACGCTCACCAACATACTGCGCTCTCTCGTCTTCCCTGGTGACGACGACACGCAAGATAGCAGCGCCCCCTTGTGTGACGACGACGGCGCGCGGGATGGTAGCGCCCCCTTGTGTGACGACGACGGTGCCAAGGAGCGGAGTGTCGATGCGATGGCGAGGATCGAAGAGAAGCGAACGCGTGTGGACGACACGGGCGGAGACGCGTGCGGTGCTGAGGCTGGGGATGAAGCCATCCTGCACGCGGAGGATGAGAAGCTGGCAGATACTGATGATGAGGATGAGGACGGGGATGTCGTGGTATCATCGTCGCCCGACGAGGATGAGCATTCAACGAAGAAAGATCGTTCAGATACAAGAGAGAGGAGAGGAGAAGAGAGAGAGCGGGGAGGAGAAGAGCGGAAAGGAGAAGAGAGGGGAGGAGAAAAGAGGACAAGAGAAGAGAGGACAGGAGAAGTGAGGGAAGGAGAAATGAGGGAAGGAGACGAGAGGGAAGGAGAAGAGAGGGAAGGAGAAGAACAGAGAGGAGAAGAGAGGACAAGAGAAGAGAGGACAGGAGACGAGAGGACAAGAGAAGAGAGGACAGGAGAAGAGAGGACAGGAGAGAGAGGGAAGAGAAGAACAGAGAGGAGAAGAGAGGACAAGAGAAGAGAGGACAGGAGAAGTGAGGGAAGGAGAAGAACAGAGAGGAGAAGAGATGACAAGAGAAGAGATGACAAGAGAAGAGCAGAGAGGAGAAGAGAGGAAAGGAGAAGCCAAGCAGGCTCACCAGTTTCGCATCGACAGCCCGACGTACCAGCAGAGCTTCCGACCGATCGACGTCACAGCGGTGTCAGAGTTTGCGAGAGAACCGGGTAGAAACCCGTGGAGTCCGTCGCGGGACCTGGCAGGGATGGCCTGGAGTCCGCCGAGGGACCCGATGGGGATGGCCTGGAGCCCGGGAACCAGCAGCTGGTGTTCTCCGGATCGCTCCCCGGAGCCGCCCGGCTACGCGATCAGGTTCTCCCCTGCCTGGTCCCCGCAGAGCGCTCGCAGCCCCGGGTCGCTGTGCGGCCCGCTGTCCCCCGCAGCGTCGCCCGACGCGTGGCGGCGGCCCTACAGTCCTGCCGCGTCTGCGGCGGCGATTATAGAGGGCGCCTCGCCGCAGTATTCGCCCGCTCGCAGCGACGCGGCGTCCCCGATGTCGTCGTCGTCGTCGTTGCTGTGGTCGCCGCCGCGATACTCTCCGCCTCTCTCCCCCGCCGCAGGCGGGAGTTCCCGCTGCATGGGCGAGGGGGAGGCGTCGCCCTGCTACGCTGGCGCCCCACAGTGGTCACCAGTTCATGTCGCCCACATGGAGGAGGACGAGGAGGAGGAGGAGGAGGAGGAGGAGGATGCCGGGGATCGTGTGGCGGCAGCGGGGGAGACCTCCCGTTCCTCGGAGATGTCCGAGGCTGTAGGGACGACATCGAGAGAGGAAGGTTACCGTGGTAACCGGCGAGCCACGGCGGAAGACAGTGACGGGGGCGACAACGACGAAACTGAATCGCTGCCGCCGCTGTCGAAGCGACGTAAAATGGACGCGGACTGTCTTGCCCTGCCCGCGGTCGCTTCTCTGCTGCTCACCGCAGTCGAGCCGGATGACACGAGACGCAATGACGGACAGCTGAGCCCGGCATCTCGTAAGCAGCAGAGTAAGAGTGCAGGGACCTCGGTGGGAGAGCATAGCGAGGGGAACATTAGCAGCGGTGCAGGTGTGAGTGGCCTGCATGGGGGGAGGCAGGAAGGACTACCCATCACCGCCAGCGTTGATCAGGCGGCGGAGCCCGGCTCGCTCGCGCCTGGCAGGATGCCAAAACGACGAACACGCAGCCGCCGCACGTCGCAGCTCTCAACCGGATCCGCGGACGGTTCGGCGTCCGTCGGCGGCGTTGCCACGGCGACCGGGAGCGGTGCCGCGGGTGTGCGAAGGAGCGAGGAGAGATGCGGGGGGCCGCCTCGGACGGATGCGGGGCAGCGGGAAGCATCCGCACGTCGTCATGGCGATCGTCACGGTGCTGTCGGTCACATCCTGATCCTGCTGTCGCGTCTCACACACGACGACTCGCTCGCACGCCACCTGCTCGCCCCGCGCTGCCTTCGCACCCTCCTCAACTACGTCGTTGCCACGGGCAACCAGAGAGCGCAGCGCAGCCTCCTGCGTCTGTGCCGGCACTCGCTCTGCTTCGCTGGCCTGGTTCGCGCTCACTTCCCAGCGATGGTGTGGAGGCAGACCATGGCGGAGTGTGGGGACGAGGTCAGACAGGCGTTCCAGAACCTGAAGGATCAGCTTCAGGTATGTCCGCACGCACGCGCAGCAGACGCAGGCAATCAGGTCCCCCCCCCCCTGTGTAGGGCTGACAAATGTTAGTCTTAAAGTGATTACGTCACCGTCAATAATAAAAGTGAGAAAATTATGCACGCTTAATCAGAAATTGTAAGTGGTTCTGTTCACTTTTTATGGTTAAATTGCTGCATTATACTTTCTATTTTGCTATTCCGTTCGATGTGAACAAACACTCGTGACTTATACATAGCCGTTATTGATAGTCAGCGTTATAATTAGCGTCACCGATATTATAGTTAATTAGAGAGTTAATTGGATAGTGATTACAGTTCCAGTTTTAGGTGATGAGTCAGTTGCGTCCTTTTCCATAATATCTCCGCGGCTGTCATGTCGTATCTTCTTTCTTTGCTGAGTAGCTGACAGCAGAGTCAGCCTATGGAAGAGGCACGGTAGAGCATCTGATAGTGACGGGAGGAGCGAAGACCAAGTCAGCATGTGCCGTCGCCATTCCCTACCTATACAGGTGAGAGTGTAATCAAGGTGCTAATTACTGTTAATTAATGATACCGGTAATTAGTGACCGAGTAATATTACGATGATACCAGATATCACTAGTTCATGATTTTTAGCTCATCTGACATAGTCAGATGCAGCTTGTAGAATCGCATGACTGATGGCCGACTGTAAGCATTACGTCGGATGTCGGACGTACGGGTAGAAATTAGCTTTTGACCAAGGGAGTCCAACGGACTCCCTGCCCTTAAAAAGAGGGAGTCCACGGCAAAATGAAGTAGTTCGCAGTCTGAAGTTCAAAACTAAGGATATTAACG